AAAAAGAAGAGAAGATCCGTCACGTACGTCGCGTGGAGTAATCGTGTTGACTGCAATATGGCGCAAGGCATTCCAACGTATTTCACGATGGCATGCACAGCTAGATTAGTAGCTGCTCTTGGCAGAGCTAGAAGTCATCTCCCTGAGGAGGTTGTTTTTGTCGTCAGGCGTAGCAATGGCGAGCCCGACGAAGACTTTCTCCATACGTCCACCCCACTTGATGGTCTGACGTGGAGTCTCAGATCCATTGATGATTTGGACCTTGAAGGTGTACTTTGTGCTGTTAGCATCTGCTGAATAGTGCGAAGTTTGTAGGTGGTAGAGCGAGAATCGTCGATTTCGGCATTCACATCATCGAGGTCGAGAAGGAGGAAGGATTGTTTGTCACGCAGCTTGGCTCGAAGCTGGTGGATGTCTTTGGCAAATCTTACATGTGTGAGGAAATAGTTGTAGGGTAGCCTGAAAGCTAGTGTGTTTGTTAACAAAAATGCACTACGCTAAAAGCTAGTGTAAAGATCTTTCGAGTGTATTGAGTTTGAGAGAATGAAAGTTATGAAGAGGATTTAGAAGCTATGAAAACTAATCAAACGAGAGAGAATCACACATCAAAGGATCGCAGATCTGAACTCCCCGGGAGACTGTAAGAGTGTGATAGATAGTTGCGGTAGCAATTCCTAAACTCACCCAACGATCCAAAAACGGAACGCGTGGAAGATTCGTCTAGCCTTTACTAGTAGCGTGGAATATCTCCACACCAGCTAAATATCTAGCGCGATGTTTCATTATCGACTAGTATGACTAGCGGTCATGAGAACCCTGTCTCAATGATATTCAGAGAAAGACTCAGTCATGAGTCGAACTCAAAACCCTATCTAGGATCGAGTCGCGAAGTAAGGCTAAGAGCCGTGTATTATGCAGTCTGTTGCGCGTTTGCATCGCCAATCACATCATTCTGAGTATTGACACGCACATGTAAAACCTTCGGTTTGCCATGATTGACGCATGCACGGAAACTAGATCGCGATGTGACCGATTGCACCACAACTGAATGACATATCTTTTCACTATCCAGTTCTTCAAGATACTTTTCTCTTGTCTTCTTTGCCTTTCTTTGTCTTCGCAATGGCGATTCCTGAAGGATACAACCGGCCATCCTTGCGGTCCTGTTCAAGCTTTTGTTGGCAGTCTCTGAGCTTCTCGTAAGTTTCCCGGTTGCGTTTCTTCTTGTATTCCATTGTTCTTCGCTTACTGATTCTTTTCTTTCGATACACCTCTTGTTGTGCTAGGAAATACGCAGTTCCCTCTTCCATCTCGAGGCCGATGTGTCAAACAACCTACGAAAGAACTCTTCCACTCCAAGCAATGTGATTCCGACAGCAATGCAAACCCGATTTTGGAGTGACAAAGAGCCGGCATAGACTTTGTTCTTTGGTGCCAACCATGCAATAGTGTTGTTGAGTGACTCGTTCGCATTGGTGGTCATTTTGTGGTTCGATTCATCCAGTCTCTCCATGGCGTGGTGAATTGTTCAAAAGGTTCTCTCGACCCCTCAGAAAGAATCTACAACGCATGTTGTCTTTTGTCTTGCTTCTGTACACTTTTCCACACTCATCCTTTTCCTCCTCTGTCATGTCCTTGCGCAAACAGAAGTCGCCACAGAATTCGTGGTTGTCGAAAGTGTGTTCCAGAACGGCCTTTACTGCATCTGCCCATTGTTCTCAGGGCAAGTCGGGAAGCTTCTTCAGGAAGTAGACATAGTACGTGGTAAATCTGAGGATGTCTCCTGTTGTCAAATCGAAACTTGCTTTAACTCCTTTTCCCTTCATCGTGTACAGATGATTTCGCAGTGTTTTCTTCCGATGAGCCGGATCGGCAACAAACAATGGCTGTGGAATTGGATAACGGAGATATCCTTCCGATCTGTACTTCGGTTTGCCAATTTTTGGTTATCCAACTGGTTTTGTCGAGATTTCATGATGTTTTACATCAATATTGTTGCTCCATTTGAGTGAGCCTTATCGTGGAGTCATCTCAGTGCAGACCTATCCATTTGTACATTGGTACAAGTCATACAGCTCCTCCACCATGATCAACAATGAAGCTGGTTCCATTCCACCGGAGCTACCTTCATAGTTGACCATGCATTCATGTTCGGGAACTTCCAGTCCACGGCTGAGATGGTATTGACATTTCCGACAGAACTTTGATCTTTGGCAGATGACAAGAGGCTTTCCGGTAAGTGCTCCCATAATACTGGCATGACCGGAAGGCGAATTGTAAGCCCGACCGGAACCTTTCTGATTCCATCCCATGTCCATTCCACCATTTACAGTTGCTTTGTGCAGTGGGCGCTCACCATTCCTGACAGCAGCTTCCCATTGAACAAAGTTGAAGTCGCCATCGTTGACACTTCTTCTCACTTCTTCCACAAGATTGTCCACGATGGCCTTATGACAAACTGCATTGATATGTGGAGCCAAGGAAAGTTCAATGCCAGAGAATGACTTCTTGGACATGGTGGTGTAATTTGGTAAGTTCAACATGGCAAGAGTTCGCTGTGCCTCCATGCCACCATCACCGGACCAAACAAACGCTAACACAAATTGTACATTCAATCCATAGTCAAGGTTGGTGACATGAGCTGACTTCTTCGGAATAGATGTTTTGGTCACTTCGGAACAATTGGTCTGACCAAAAGACTTGCATTCCTCATTGGCACAAGTCAACTGCCCAGTAGATGTCACACAGGTGGTGTTGAATGTAAGTTGAACAGAAGGTTGTCGGCATGTGTAACATCTGGTATGACCATTGACTAAGTCAGACAATCCTTTGTGTTCTAGGATCAGTCTTCTTGGCGTCGGAGGCTTCTTCCTGATGGCTGATGCATCTTCTTGGACAAGAGGTGATTCAGCAATAAGTCCATTGTCACAGGCAATCGGAGATGGTGTGGGCTGTGGCTGTTCTTTCCTTTTTGGTGCTCCCATATTCAGTTTGTCCTGCTCCCAGTGAGGCTTTTTGGAGGCAATGTCCTTTGTTGTTCCGGATGACACCTTGTATATCTCTCTCTCGACAAGGTTTGTAGCCTTTGTTCCGGTGACTGTCGAACTTGAGAAATTTGGTGTAACTCCTCTCTGACGCCGACTTTGCCTCAATACCGGAGTTGCATCTTCTCCGCCTACCACTGCCGGAGTTACAATCTGTGGGTTGTCTGTAGAGTTTCAGCTCCTTCCTCTTCTGAGGCAACATTCATAACTTGCCGTTGTTACTTTTGTTGCCACAGAATTGGCCATGGTCGCCAGTTGCCAGCTAAAATAAAGAAGAATTCCAAAAAGGAAGATTCCATCTGCCAGCTAACTGACTACAATCGCATGAGATTGACTACGTGGCCATGAAGTATGGTTTAGCATTGATTTCTATTTTAGCTATCGAAACAAACTCGGGAGTAAAAGCGGGTGGTACCTCCTTAAGCATTTGAGAACACTGGCGAAGTATTGTTACATGTACAGTCGTACATGTACATGTATGATGTCTTGTGATGAAGTGGAAGCTAGCAGAGCTGCTTTAATACGTGAAAACTAAGCAAGTTGCCTCTCGACCACCACTACAGCAATTCTATTCCAGGCTCCTACCGGCAACAATGGGGCCAGAGCTGAATCCCCATCAGGACTCTCGACTATTCGGTTGCTCATACCCAACAACTTGGAAAGAAAACGCTTGTACATGTAAGCTTTGGTTCCATTCTTCGTCTCTAGTTGTCCCCATCCTTCGTCTTTTTGTCCCCAACAGACTACCGTAGCTACACACTTTCTGGACAGCAAGATGTGTTGAGTTGTCCAGAGGGGCAAAAGACTACCGTACTGTCAAGCCAGCATCCAAGTTCCTGATGTGGTTCCATTATTCCATTGTTCAGCGTGAAAAGTCTAATTCTCCTTACTGTACATTTGAATGCAGATTGTATTCTCTTTGTATGTATCATAGCTAAACAATGTTGCTCTCGACAATGTTACTCTCCTCGGTATTCTTGACTGCTGATGAGTCTCCATGCGTTCCTGTCTGGGCCTGTTCTTTTTCTGCATCGGCAGCTGCCTCTCCCAGAGCTCTGACGAAAAGCCCAAAACAAATCACTTGCATGGCAAACATCATAACGACAAAGCCAATCAATCGAACAAACGTCAAGACGCCCTTGTCCAAATCGGAGAGCAACATGGTTCCAAATGTCAAGTACAGTGCACCCGCTAACAGCATACTGCATTGAGCAGCACCACTCTGTGCCAGGTCTCGACTTGCCCGTAAGAGGCACACCATGAAGAGTTGCAACACTCCCACCACCACAAACCAAACGGCCACCAGGATGAGTAGAATTTGAGCCGTTTCATCGGGAAAGGCGAGTGCCAACACTCCCAGAATGATATTGACCATCATGGTAATAAAGTAAAACATCATAATGGCGCCACGCATAGGATTGGGGGCACTGTACCGGGAAATGGCGTACAGTTGTACCCCCGATGACGCGGCTTCCAAAAGGACCATCACTCCAAAGAGAATGCTAATGACATTGACCGTCGTCTCGGGGAAAATTACAAACACCAAACCGAGCGCAAAGAGAATTGATCCTCTCATCACGATTGCGGGCCAATACGATGATGCATCTGTCAAGACGCCATCGATACTCGTTGGGCCGCGATTATGTTGATCTCCCTGGAGTATGGCAGCTTGTTCTGTAGCAGTAGACTCCGTCATGATCTACCGGTATATTGGAAATGGCGGAAGATCCTGACTAGTCAATTGCCAATGGCCCTCGATACCCCGTTATTCTATAGTCAGTGCAAAGAACAGCTATGATAGGAGCAACACTACCGGTACCATACAGGACAGATTGGCTGCTGAAGCCTGAACCGAAGAAGAAGAAGAATGGCCGCTCCATGGCAAACTCATTGGGCCCATTCTACTTCTGGACTCTTGAACTTTTTTCTTCCCCGCACTGCTGGGTCCCTATACCGGTACCAGTAACCGGTCACCAAGAAAGATTGGATCGAATCGAGTCACGAAGGATGAGACCACCGGACTGTTACCCAAAGCCACCCTCATCGTGGAAAGGGCTTTTGAAACGAACCTCAGTCTTCCTGCTTCTACAATGAGTTCCCGGCATTAACACCATCGTGGCGCTTTGGATCTCTACTCGTATGGCTACCAGTAGTAGTTGCCCTCTCCCCCATTCCCCAGCCTCCTTCCTTCCATTCCCAGGCCTCCTTCGATTGGTCACTCCTGCAACAATCCTGCGCTCAACCTCTGGAGTCGAGTCGTCCATCCCTACCACACATACGGTAGCCCACCCGAACCACATAGTAACCCGAAACTATAATCTTCAGGGTTGTGCTTTGTCAAAACCAAAATGTCTATATTTTATTTATTTGATCACTCTACGTACATGCATACATGTAGAGGTAATGCCAAGCCAAGCTGCTTGCTCAGTTGCTCTTTCAGAGTCGCTTGGATGACAACCATTTGGCCAAAACTTCCTTTGGGACTCCGGGTGGAGGAACTCCAGGGACACCACGGGGGAAATAGGAAGAAACTCCTCCCTGTCCCCGTCTGTTGAAAATCATGGTGTGAGGAGCAAATCCACCTGCTTCCAGTGTGTATTGCGTAAATGCCAAGTAGATTCGAAAGGCTCGAGCAGCTTCTTCCCCGATGGCATTGGCAATCTCGGGATACTTGGCGTCGAATCGTCGACGCCACAACTCAAAGGTAATCTCATAGTGGACCTTGTCCCATTCGTTCGTATGGATCAGCTTCAGACCAGCTGTCTCTGCCGCTTCCGACAAGAGCGTTACGGAGGGAAGATATCCACCGGGGAAAATGTAGGTATCGATAAAGGCATCCGGGAAAAATGGCATAGTGCGCGGCGTGTTGAGACTTTGCATGACGTAGATTCCAGTCTCCTTTAGACTCTTGCGAATCTTCTTCAAGAGATGGCCGTAGTTGTTGCGTCCCACGTGCTCCACCTCGATCATAATGACGCAGTCGTACAAGTTTTCGCCATAGTCATGGTCCACCATGTCGGCCAAAATGGCATTGACGCGGGGGTTGTATTCCTTAATTTGTTCGGGAGAGTGCGTGAGCGCCGAGATGGACACCTCAGGGTACTTGGTGGCCAGTCGATTCACGATACTTCCCCATCCCGACCCCACATCCAAGACGGAATATCCCGCGCGCTCCTCGGGAGTTTTGTATTTCAATTTCATAATCTCGTCAATGTAATAGTCCACTTTTGCTTGCTGGGCTTTGCCGAGGTCCAGTTCGGTTCCAGCAAACATGCCACAAGTGTAGGTTTTAGTCTCTTGGTCAAGCATGGCATCCCACAAGACCTGGCTGGAAAGGTTGTAGTGATCCGATGCAGCACGGTCACGGACCTCACGAGCGGGCTTGACACCGCGTTTGCGACATTGGAGCCACCAGCTCATTCCTGTGGTGTACGGAATTCGCTTCTTCAAAGCTCGCAGATTGCCATACATTCGTCGCGACACTGTGTACAAGGCATCGTCCAAGTTTTCTTTTTCGGTCTCGCTAACATCCCACATTTTCTTGGCGTAGCCCATTCCAAAGGCAACGAGTCCCCGTCGTTCAAAGAGTTGCTTCCATTGCATCAAGTCCTTAGCACTGCGAAAGCAAAAGATATCCATGGCTTTGGCATCGTTCCACAAAAACTGAAGACTCCAAGACTTCTTGGCAGAAACCTTTCCCGACGTAATCATTTCGCTGCCACTTTCCCAAGGCCCATTGTTCTTGTTCTCGACAGTGTATGCTTGAACCCAAAAGTTGCCAAACATGGCAAACAGAAACACCATCCAGGCCAGACTGCCCACTGACAATTCAATTGGAACAGTGCCAAGGCGAATTGCTTGTGAGTTGTGTACCATGAGAACCAGGAATTGAGTCATTTGCATGGCTGTTAGGCAAGGTTTGACCATTTTGGCAAAGTGAGGAAGGGCAGGGATCTTGGATGCAGACATGAGATACCAAGAGTACATGGCAGCATGGATACTGCTGTTGATGAATTGAGGTCCCCAACAGTCGCCCATGGGACAGATGTTGAGAACAAAGTAGGCAAGCCAGATCTGTCCCATATGATGCATCCAGTGCAACTTGGAAACACTCTTCTTCTTGTCACTGAGCTTGATAAAGACAGTATCAGCGCAGTCGACAATCTTGTTCAAAAAGTACAGCCAATAGAGCATGCCCATAGTCGGGTTCCATTCAGGATTCGTGTTGCCCCAAAAGGAGTACCCGCTGTGCAAGGCACAAAATAGAACTGCAGCAGCATGCCATACATTGAATGTTGCTTGCAACGAGTTGTAGGTGGGCTGAATTGCCTTGGCGGCAGCTGGCAGCCATGGGAGCTTGTTGACAATGGAATCTTTGCTGATGACAAGCAAGATGGCATAGAGGAGAGTGACAGAGAAGGTGAATCCAAGCATGGGTGTGGAAGACGTGACATCTTTCATCTCCTCAAAGGTTGGGAATTCAAACAGGTTCTTCGCAACATGGTAATACCTGCTGGCCACGGCAACGGCGAGGGCTCCAGCAATCGGCCCGACTGCATGGATGGATGAGCATGGAGTGGTCGTCTTCAGGACCACACTCTGCTTGCCAGAGACATTGTAGGAAATACACATGGTTCGATGGATACTGGTATGTTCGGTGGTATTGTGTTTTTGTTTGTCAAGTAAGCTAGCTTGTGAAGATTGTGAGCGTTGAAATGCGTTCTTGAAATGCGCAATGATTCGTTGTGGTACCAGGTGGTACAGCTGTACAGCGTGAGGACATGCGTGGGTGTACGGTACGAGTGTGCCGGTATATTGGCGGGGTGAAAGCAGTCTTGGAGGTTAGTTAGTAGGTCTCCGTGAAGGATGCGAACCGTACGAGTACTCACTTACATTCCACCGTCGTTTTGAGTTTGATGAGTGAGTTTTGTCATTTTGAAATGGAAAGTGGACTTTTGGTAAAACTGAGATTGATGAATTCATTTGGCACAATTATGACAAGTCCATTCTCTATCCTGGGAGCCCGACACAACACAGACCAGGATGGGGTTTTTTGTGCTTGGTTTGGTTAATTAACAAGTACCCAGTACGGGTAGGGTGATTTGTCCCTCACAAATTTTCACTTAGGCTTAGTGTGTGTAAATCCGCTTAGGCTAAGTGGATTTACATGAATCACTTAGACTAAGTGTTCTACTTTGCCTAAGCAAAACACTTTGGCTAAGCGATACACTTAGGCTAAGTGATGCTCTCCAAGACATCTTCTCAACAGCACAAGTCCCTGCAGCTTGTTGTATACACAAACTCTGTATTACTGCTGATCCTCATTCACAATAGTACCTATATTGCCAGCAAGTGCTTTGGGGCTATGCAATGAGGGAATGGCGGCCACACCAAATGCACAACTAATGACCAACAACTCTCAGATGGTAGGTAAATACACTGAACATGTATTTGGAAACATCGGGAACATCCAAGATTTTGCAAGAAAGCAACATCATTTGTACATCGGAATGGTACAACTGTACCCACAACTCCTGAGGAGTACTTTCGGACTTCCAGGTGCCCTGGAACCGTAATAATTCTCAATCGTACAGAGTCTCTCTTGGCATTTTTTGTTGTTGCGTATTTACATTATAGCCAAGGATAGAAGCCAGATTAATAGTATGCTGCCATGGATGGATGGTACCATCCTCCAGGGAAGTTGCAGCCTGAATCTGAATCTCTGTTGTAACCCAATTAAACTCTTTCTTGCGAAGCTCTTTGAACAGTTCACAGGAAGCTGAAAGTGGGGGCATGATGGGTGATAGTTGAGTCTCCTTGTGTCTGTGTGTGTGCTTGCTGCAGGGACTTGTGTTGTGCTGTTGAGGAGACTTGTGCTATTGAGGAGATGCCTCGGAGAGCATCACTTAGCCTAAGTGTTTCGCTTAGCCTAAGTGTTTCGCTTAGCCTAAGTGAGTTGCTTTGTATGGCTTAGCCTAAGTGTATTGCTTAGCCTAAGTGCATTGCTTAGGCTAAGTAAAACACTTAGCCTAAGTGGATTTTCGAGCACTTAGCCTAAGTGAAAATTTGTGAGGTACAAATCACGCTACCCTTCTACCACACACGTACACCAAGTAAACTGAACGTACTGGTAGCTGCACTGGTTAGCATGCTACTGGTCTAGCTAGCTAGACTTGTAGTAGATATTTTGGAGCCTTTTGTGTCCGGGTGGTTTTGGCTTCTCGCTCCCGGTCCATAGTTAGTTGTTCCAATACGGCCCTTGCTGACTAATAAATTGTGCATGGAAACTTGGAGCTTTTCCAGATGGTTCTGATTCGATTCCGCCCGTGCATCATCGTTCTCGTACTTGCTAGCGCTCTCGATATTTTTTTGGCAAATTCTAGAGAGAAATCAGTGGACCATTCGCTCGCATGGCCTTGTGTTCCCACCCAAGCAACTGCCGGTAGGCTAAGGACTCCTTCTTAGTCAAGAAGATACACACAAATGCATCTTTAAAACCCTTGCTAGACCAAATACGAAGAAGCCAAAAATGAAGCTTCAACTGTTGGCTCGACACTCGACCGTTGACCTAATAACACCCGTAACTCAGCTCTCTGCCATTCCTTCGTTCCTGCTTTTGGTGCATGGTTCCTGAAGTTTCACTTTGAATCGAACGAAATTGGGAAATACTGGAGTACATAACATGTTGGGAAAACACTGGAGTACATAACATGCCCAGCACAAGCGCGTCCTGCCCATCCTAGCGTGATCCATGGTGCAGTTGTAGGTTATGACTATTTATAGCGGTCGCTCCACGTATTTCCCTGGTTGCTCTCCATTCCAGCAAACGTCGCGATCACGCAATTCCAAACTCTCCGCGGCTTGATGCCGACCGGTGTGGCTTTCCAGTGAACCATTGAAGCTCTCCCTTGTAATTCAATGGGTCAATGACTGGAAAGCGGAGCCCTTTACCACCATTGTCTGACTCCCAACATTCGATTGCGTCTTGTGTGATGCTCGTACAGCATATCATCGCCCCGCCCCCCCTAGTGTATAGCAATAATTATTTTTAAACTTCCCCAATCACATCGGAACAGGCGGTGTAGTTTTATGGCGTTAGGTTACCCAATGTAATCATTTCGCTGCCGATTTCCCAAGCTCCAACCTTCTTGTTCTCTCGAACGTGTAGGTTTGAACCCAAAAGTTACCAAACATGGCAAACAAAAACGTCATCCAGGCAAGACTACCCACTGCCAGTTCCACTGGAACAGAGCCGTGGCGAATTGCTTGAGAGTTGTGTACCATGAGAACCAGGAATTGAGTCATTTGCATGGCTGTCAAGCAAGGTTTGACCATTTTGGCAAAGTGAGTTAGGGCAGGGATCTTGGATGCAGACATAAGATACCACGAGTACATGGCCGCATGAATTCCACTATTGATTAAGCCAGCGGAGCTGTGTAACCTCGGCAGAAAGGTTTCAGTGTAGAAGCAGATACCCCTAAAAAAAAAAAATAACGAAGTTTTATTATTTAGGCTGCACCTCAATAGACCACCCGCTGAACGGAGCCATATTGAACCGGAGTACCTCAGACGTACAGGGACGCCCACATAGGAACCGGCCTAGTGCAAGCCCCCCACCGGAGAAGTTTAAAAACTCCGGAGGGTGCTTTGCAGCTAACTATCTACCCTTGGCTGGATTGCCATCTATTTCTACGGCAGGACCCCTTCTGTGCGTAGTTACCCTGTGTCATTGTTCTGAATTGTGCGTGCATGCTCGTCCCTGAGTGCCTTGTCGACGACGGGCAGCCAATTGGCAAGCCACGCTTTTATGTCGCCTGGGCCCTTTGCCATTTGCTCGTCAAGTGGTCGCTTGAAGATAAAGTCCACCAGCTCCACTGGGATCAGATCCGCCTTCTCGTAAATGAGTTCCACCTCCCGCTGAAGCTGTTCGTGCTTCTTCTTCCACTGGTCTTCCCTGTCTTTGCCATGCCTGGCAGCATTTCGATCCTCCCACAGGTTCCACCACTGCTGGATGAGCAGTGAGGCTAGGTTGGTGACCCAGAGCTGCCCTGTCTTGGTTGTCTCCTGGGCGCCGACCCGATGCAGATATGCATCTTGATGCTTAGCCCAGTGCGTGGACAAACGTCCTCTCAGGAAGTTGTCCCAACCAATGAGATTTTGAGTATCAACGAGGTCCCTATACCTGTCAGGGTAGTGCCATGGGTGGAGGAATCGATCTTCAAAGTGGTATTGTAGTCCATCCAGAGCAATTTCCAGGAGGAAGGGGTCTGTGGAATCCTTGCGCAACCTTGTGCTGATCGCTCGTTGCATGGTCCCTCGCCACAAGTCCACGTCAACATGCGGGCATCGATAAACATGGGTTTCAGTCTCGTGATCACTGCCACAACGGGGACAGTGGTGATCATACTTGGGGTCATCCCGGTGGACCCGTTTCCCAACTGGCAACAATTGAAATAGAAACTTCACAATTGTCGGTTTGTGGATCTCGTGACGGTTGACAGCTCGACCATGGCTGTCCAATCAACCAGTGCAGGGGTGTCCTCGTCCCAGTCGGGATTCAGTTTGACAATGTGGTCGAACAGTGGCTGGTCGTTCTGAGATGCCGCAGTGTTCTGGGGAGCTTGTACGTGTCATGTTCCTTAGGAAGGTGCACTGGGCAGGTTTGCCGGAAATCGGAGTACCTTGGAGTGATCCTGTTGGATGTGTCGGTTCATGTAACTGCCTGCCAGTTTGTCAGCTCTGCAGTTCAGTTGTGCTTTCAGGGGTAGTGTTTCGATGGCCTTGTGCTTGTCCTGGTGCGATTTGATGTGCTCCATCTTGGGCACAGTGACTGCAGCCCGGAACGAATCCTCGATCTGCTGCAGACATCCCAGTCGGAGTTCAACGAATCATTGGGGTACCATCCCTCATACTCGAGACAGCTAGCGCACTTATTCGTCACAGACTCATGTCGCATAAGTGTACATAATTCTCATGCTGGTCTGATCGTAAACCCAGCAATCGTCGAAGAAGGCAAGTAGGGGATAGAATGCCATAGGCCTCCGCCCTGTATGAAGTCGGAACCATACCAAAAACTGGACCCGAACACCGAAGAACAATTTGGCCGCGGTTGTCTGCCAGGACCCATGCAAAACTCGCCTTACCGGTTTCAATGTCGGCAGCCCCATCGCTGGCTACCCAGAAGGGCATGGCTGTGACAATCTGCAGGACTGAGTAGGCGTCCACCATCCATTCAAGCTCGTCATAGAGAGCTAGAAGCAGATACCCCTATCTAGCTAGCTAGAAGCAGATACCTCTAGTGCTTAGCTAGTGCTTAACTTGCACTTAGCTAGCTAGAAGCAGATTCCCCCTAGCTAGAAGCAGATTCCCATAGCAAGCTAGAAGCAGATACCCTAGCTAGCTAGAATACTAGTTATATAGCTTTCGCTGGCTTTAGAGTGTTTCCTGGTAGAAGCAGATCCCCCTACTAGAATGCATGTAAATAGCTTTAGCTGGTGTAAAAGCACCATCCTAGGATACTTATTTAGTTTTTGCTGACTTATTTGTATTCTAACCCTACCCTTATACCTGCAGGGACCACCGTAGCAGGAAAAACAATTAAAGGGGTTGAGGGCTCTGGCAGCAAGACTGCCGAGGTGAATTGTGGTACCCAACAGTCGCCCATGGGACATATCTTGAGACCAAAGTAACCAATCCAGATCTGTCCCATATGATGCATCCAGTGCAGATTGGAAACAGTCTTCTTGCCACTAAGCTTGATAAAGACAGTATCAGCACAGTCAGCAATCTTGTTCAAAAAGTACAGCCAGTAGAGCATGCCCATGGTGGGGTTCCATTGAGGATTCGTGTTGCCCCAAAATGAGTACCCGCTGTGCAAGGCACAAGATAGAACTGCAGTGGCATGCCATGCGTTGAATGCTGCCTGCAATGAGTTGTAGGTGGGCTGAATTGCCTTCGCGGCAGCGGGAAGCCATGGGAGCTTGTTGACAATGGAATCTTTGCTGATGACCAGCAAGATGGCATAGAGAAGAGTGACAGAGACCGTGAATCCAATCATGGGTGTGGAAGACATAACATCTTTCACCTCCTCAAAGGTTGGGAATTCAAACAGGTCTTTCGCAACGTGGTAATACTTGCTGGCCACGGCAATGGCAAGGGCTCCAGCGATTGGCCCTGAGAATCTGAAGACTCTCTGCTTGTCAGAGGCTTTGCGGGAAATACACATCGTTCGACAGGTGCGTTTGGTGATATTTCTCTAGCTGGCTGGGATTGTGAGGATTGAATCATTCCACTCTGAGAAGATGCGACTGTGTGGTAAACTCGGGGGTGGGGGAGAGAATTGGATAGTTGGATGGTGCAACAGCAAATCGTACCGGTTCCGGTTTGCTGGGCAGAGTTTTGTGAGGCTGGTATTGGGGCAGCGTTGTGCCTACGAGCAGCTTCGATTTTATTAATTCAAACGCGTGCCGGCATTTCTGGTACAGTTCTACGAGAGCTCGTGTAGAAGTGTACTGAAAAGTGTGGCGCGCGTTTGAATCAACAAAATCGAAGCTGCCTGTAACGTACTAGTACCGTAGCGTACGGTACGAGCAACGACTGCACCTCATGACTCATGACCACCGGCCCCACCACCCATACTAATTTAAAAACCCGAAGAAGGTCATCAACCGGTAAACGCATTCTCACAACAGCCTTGAAGGTAAATGCATGGTAAATGAATGTAAATAGGCGAAGGACACAGCAAACAGCAAGAATCATTTGTAGTAAAAACTACTTTCAGACCGATTTTGAACAGTAGTTGGGGTAAACATAGGGTTAAAGTGAATATTTACTCACAAAATTTTTATTTTAAAAACGGAAAGTGAAATTGGACTATTTTAGTGAAATCTACATATATTTTGCAAACTGTGGCTGAATTTCCCCGAGGAATTTACATAAGCAAACAAGCGGTAGATTTGTAGATTTTGCTGCACTCAGTGGTAACAGGCAGCATGCAAAGAGAAGACTGAGACTCCACCAGACTCGACTCGGAACAATCGCATCGGTGGTTAGATTTGTGTTAAGTCCTAGCTAGGTCTTGTAATTTTACATGTGTTAATCAAAGTATGAACACACACTTCCTTCTACCTGGTAGTACCATACTGAGTAGTAGCTTATTAATATTAATAGAAGTGTCCGAGACCATGTGAAATAAGCACTCAACCGCCGCGAAAACACAAGGTAAATTCTGTTACTCTATGTCTTGGTACTCCGCATCTGATCACCCTTTAATTAAGCCAGCGGAGCTGTGTAACCTCGGCAGAAAGGTTTCAGTGTAGAAGCAGATACCCCTATTAGCTACTAGCTAGCTAGTAGCTAGTAGCTATCTAGCTACAAGCAGATACCTCTTCCGCTGATTGGGACATTATCGCCGAAATTCGACAAACTCTACCACAAATCCAACCGGCCACTTCCATCCCAAAAATCAAACACATCAAAGGCCATTAGGACGATGAGAAACCGTATGATGAATTAACGCTGGAAGCCCAACTCAACGTCGACGCCGACGGCCTAGCCAAGCAATGGTTGGTGAACAACCCAAACTTTGACCACACACAAGTCCCAATTCTTCCAACGAGTGGTTGTCAACTGAATCTTCCAGGTGGAACCATCACACACAATCTGAAACACGAACTCAAACTGGCAGGATCGGTGCCACAACACAAACAGTTTCTCATGAATAAACACGAGTGGGACAGGTACAGCGACACCTTTGAAGATATGGGAGGGCACTCAATTGCTTGGATCACCATCGCACCTCTCTCACCAAGTACCTTTGCAATTGGCACCCCCTCGGTAAACGTGTCAACAAATACGACCCCAAATATCCCATTGCATGCGCATCCTGTGGAGCCCCAGAAGAAAATAGAGAACACGTCCTGAGATGCCCCAGGCGACAATCAAAACGAACGGCATGGAAGAAGGCACTCAAGAAATACACCGACAAGCACAACACTCACCCAATGCTCCAAACACTTCTTCTCTCAGCACTCCAAAAAGTACTCGATGGACAAGATACCACAGGAATTGAATACGATGACAGTGTTGCCGATATCGCAAACGCCCAAGCAGCCATCGGTTGGGATTAGCTCCTCAAGGGACGACTATCCAAACAGTGGGCGCAACGCCAGGATCGACACCTCAAGGAATGCAATCTCAAAACACATCGGAAAAATGGCCAAACCTGGCTCACAGGGATTATTCAAGAATTGCTCACCCAGTGGTTCGAACTCTGGAAGGCCAGGAATCATGATCGGCATGGCAAAGACGCACAAACCAAGGCACAAGCAGCCAACCGACAGTCTATCCATGAACTTCAGCTGCTATATGACAAATACACCGGAAACCTTAGACCAGAACAGGTATGGCTTCTCCAAACACCAATCAAGACATGATCCCAATGGCCCACAGCATCAATCCGACAATGGATCAACATATGGGAACCAGTCCTTGAAGAGAGTTACGCCACACAGCTTGAGACTGGGTAATTGACGCGGGATCTCCACTTCCCATCCTTCCAATTTCCTCCTGTGTCGGCTTCCGTCCCTCCTTTTCTCCCTCCACCCAACCCACCTAGTAACTCTCCTTGAATCCATTCGGCCAAATGCACAAATCCGTTAGGAATATATGTCCGGCAAATCCACACGAGATATGTCATTTATACTTACATGTAACTTTAAATGCACCATCTCCCCTAGGGAGTGTGGTGCCGGTGAGGGAACCAGTGGTGGTCTCTTGTGAAACCAATCCCCGCTTCAGCCGGGAGCGGTTACCCAAAGCTTCGGCTGCAGCACAATGATGATCCGTCCATTGGGTCCATATCTGTTATAAAGATTTTGTTTTTTGTTTTTTTAGCTAGAAGCAGATACCTCTAGTGCTTAGCTAGTGCTTAACGTGCGCTTACCTAGCTAGAAGCAGATCCCCCTAGCTAGAAGCAGATTCCCATATCAAGCTAGAAGCAGATTCCCCTAGCTAGCTAGAATACTAGTTATATAGCTTTCCCTGGCTTTACAGTTTTCCTGGTAGAAGCATATCCCCCTAATAGGATTCATGTAAATAGCTTTAGCTGGTTTAAAAGCAGCATTCTAGGATACTTATTTAGTTTTTGCGGACTCATTTGTATTCTTTAGAACCCTACCCTTATACCTGCAGGGACCACCGTAGCAGGAAAAACAATTAAAGGGGTTGAGGGCTCTGGCAGCAAGGCTGCCGAGGTAAATCATGTGTGTGCAACTGATGTAATTTGGTCAGTTTTTTAGGCAACTTACCAGTACATACGGTGGTCATGTTAGGCACATGAACCTGGTACCGGTACCTGGTACGTGTGTAACGATGTACGACTTACGTACGGTATGGTACCGTACAGCCGTACGGTACCGGTACATGTACCGGTACTAGTAGGAGGTGACAATACTGGTGGGTCTGCTGACGTAAACGAGACCAATAAACGAGCAAAACGTTCAGCGACACCACCAATATTCAAGGATCACGATCGAGCACCAAGCCTTGTGAGAAGAAACAGAGGTGGTTGCCCCTGCATTGCACTGATGAACCGAATGAACTCTTGAACTGGTTCATATTGACCCAACTCCAACACAAAACACATCAAGGAAGAGATACTGGCAAAACAAGAAAATGCACGAGATTCCGTTTTTCCAGCAGCTTCGTCGAACGGTCGAAGCCAAAGGCGACCAAGTCTTTGCCACTTGGTACGACAAGCATGGAAAAGTCAGCGAGGAGTGGACATTTGCTCAAATCTGGGAGGACGCAGGAACGATTGCATACTACTTGCGGGAGGAATGGGGTTGCCAAAAGGGCGATAGAGTCGTGTTGTGCTACTTGTTTGGGTTGAACTTTTTCGCTGCCTACTTGGGATGTCTTCGCGCTGGTTGTCTCGCGGTCCTTGTCTATCCCCCGGGGCCACCCTTGACAAAGTCCCTCTCCAAGCTGCAAACTGTGATTCAAGATTGTAAACCCGTCCTGATCCTTACCGACACTGTTGTAAACCTGGTCCGCAGTGGAGACTCTGCCAATCCTTTCTCCAACAGTCGCGATCTTTGGCCCAATGACGTGCCATTCCGTGTCACGGATACCCTCTTGGAGAGCAAGGGCAAGAATGAAGCATACCTGGTCAAGATCGTCTCGGCATTGCTGCGTCAAAAGAAACCAAAAGACAAGAACCTCAGTTTCCACGATGAGACAATCCAAGAAGAAGAAGTGGCCTTTCTGCAGTATACGTCAGGTACGTAGGCTCGTTCATTGAGATGAGAGAGTTGCAACAAACCACCCATGCTTTGCGTATCTAGTATGGGAGGCTGACCCTGTTTCGTTTCTCTCGTGGCCCAACAGGAAGTACTGGCGATCCAAAGGGAGTGGCCATCTCCTTTGCTTCTTTGATGGCCAACGTGAATCTAGTTGGCGAAGACGTCCACGGGAAGCTGGAGAGAAGTGGTGGTGTGCCCTCGGAAATTGTCCAGTTTTCGTGGTTGCCTCAGTATCAGTAAGCACTTTCTGTGGACTATAGTCTATGTGCCCGTCGATTGTTCCCTGGGTTGCGCCTAACTTTGAAACTTGCTGTCCCTTGTCAACCACAGTGACGCTGGACTCGTGTGCGCGTACGTCTTGCCCTTTGCTTATGGATGGAGACAACATTTCACCAGTCCACTTTCCTTTCTCGAGAATCCATTGCTTTGGATGGAACTCTTGTCGCGAACCCGGTCGAACTTTGGCATGGCGCCGGACTTTGCGTTTCGTCTCGTGGCACGGAAATATCACGAGGCCAAAAAGAGACCTGGTGGCGTTTGTCCCATTCCAGACTTGGATTTGTCCGCCATCAGAGGCATTACCAATGCGGCCGAGCCCATCAGAGCTGATACAAGGGCGCTGTTCTTGGAAGCATTTGCAGAGCATGGACTCCCAGACAGCTACTTTTTGGGCGGCTATGGGCTGGCAGAAACAGTGGTGGGGGTTTGCTTTACGCACCGATATTGTCTGTCGACTCCACGACATGAAGGCGACAATCCAATAGTGGCCAGTGGGCATAGACAAGAGTTCCACCATTCGGTGCAACTCAAGGTCGTAGACCCCGACTCTCACCAAGAGTGCCCTAATGGAGAAACGGGGGAGTTGTGGATCTCCGGGCCTTCTACTCGTAACTCTTACTACAACAAAGAAGATCTAACAAGAGAGACATATCATGCAAAGATCCAAGTCGACGACAACGACGACGACGACGACGACAACAACAACACGGAGCAAGAGTATCTTCGGACGGGCGACTTTGCCTTCTTTCAGGACGACTTCCTCTACATCAGTGGGCGCAGGAAAGACTTGATAATCTGCAATGGCGTCAATTATTATCCGCAGGACATTGAGTATGTGGTCCAGGACGCCTCTTCTCTGATCAGACCGGGCTGCACCGCTGCATTCTCATCTAATGAAACAGACGGAGACGGAACATTGGAAGTTGTGTTTGAGCTCAGAAAGGAGGGTGAGGATCAAGCGGCTGACATTTGTTATGACGTGCAAATCTCCATCATGAAAGCTATTGGGATTGCACCCACCCGAGTCGTCGCCATTGTTTCCAGGTCGATCGCAAAAACGACAAGTGGGAAGATCAGGCGTCGAGCCACCCGCGAGAAGCTCCACGGAGGTGAGCTAAAGGTCCTCTATGACTACCAAACCGCAAGTCCTGACGCAGCAACTGAAGATGAGCGTTCGAGTACAACTTTCGCGGGTTCAGACGAAGAAGCACCGAATCACCACAGCCCAGCCATCCTGGACACGATGCCAGCGGATGAGAAGTTCGACATGATTGTGTCCTCTGTCTTGGGCAAGAACTATGATCCAACGACATCGTGGGAGCTTCTCGGACTGACTAGTATGACGCAAGTGCTGCTTTTGAACAAGATCGGTGAAAATTTCCCCGTGTCTTTATCAGCTCAGGATTTGCAACAACGCTTCAGCACACCCGAGGCCCTAAAGACCTACCTCCTCAGTCCGAACATTGGGAACTTCTTTCCAGTTAAGGTGGAGGACCTAAAACTTGCTGGGCAACGTTTGCCTCGGATGATCTGCGCATTCCTTCAAACCTTTGGTATCCTTCTCTTCCTCCTGCTCCTTTCTTTCGTCACTGCCCCGGCGTACTATTTTGTGACTTTCTGCCAACTACGACCTGACGATACTTCTACCTCTTACCCTTCCCGTCTGGCACATCAGCTTCTCTCTGTCGGTTGTGCTATCAAAGTGGCTGGTCATTGGAAAGTACAGTCAAACTGAAGTACCCGTGTATTCAGTTTACTTTCTACGGTGGTGGTTTGTGGATAGACTTTTGCATTTTTGGGAATTTGTCACTGGTAGGTTCTTGAAAGGAACGACTCTCCTTTGGCTCTTCTACACAGTCCTGGGAGCCGACTTGCCAGCTTCGGTACAAGTCGATGGGTTTCTCAGAGAACCAGACTTGATCACATGTGGAGAACGAGTTTCCGTCGACTTTGACATTCACTGCCGCAAGTTTTCGAACATCAAGTCCAAAGGCGGCTCATCAGACACCGCGAAACTCCGCTTCAGGCAAACTTCTTTAGGAGACAACTGTACCATCCAAGGCCACGTGGGACTGGGGGCAAAGATTGGGAAAGACAGTCTTATCAAGAAACTCTCAGCAGTCCCTGAAGGGGCTCAGGTCCCTCCAAGAACTGTAGCAAGAGGCAGTCCGGCCTTCCAAACCATCGAAGCGCCCAGTGAGACAACACAACCCAAGTGGTTCGATACATTGGAAGGAGCAAAGGTAGCATGGATCTGGATTGAGCTGTACCTTTCAGCGGCTTTTGTATGGATCTCTGGGCTTGTCGTTGACAGGATCCCACATCTTCAAGGATGGCACTACGAATCCCTGCTTCGAATTGTTGTGCTAGTGGTCCTTTCCACGATCCTGGGACTTGTCTTCACCATCCCACTCAAATGGATACTGATTGGCCGTCGACGAGCCGGACGAAAGGAGTCAGGCTGGGAGAAACTCCTTCAGTGGATGGTTGACTACCACTTTGAAATCTACAGGACCCTGTTCGACTTGGTGGCAGAGAACACACTCATGGTAAACGTCTACCTGATGGCGCTTGGCATGTCCATTGATCTCGATTCGAAAGTCTGGCTGTTCGTTCTCCCTCCCTCCAAGGTTGATTTGGTGAACATCAAGTGTTCTTTTGTTTCAGCTGCCGACTTTGACGTGACAGCATCCGGAAAGCCCGAGATGATCGTGGTGTACAATAGCAGCATTGGTCACACCGTTGTACTGGAGGGCGGTACAACCATTCGAAACACAGAAGTCATTCCATTCTCTACGATCTCCACCGACCTTATTGGTGATGCCGAAAAGTGGAGCAGCAATCAACAACGTCTTCCGCACCTTTGTGAGAGACTCTTGGTTGATCTTGCTGCCATTCCAGTACTTTTGGGAACTGTAGCAAGCTTCCTCCCAACATATGAATTTTACCAACGGGCGGTGTTCCTGAACAATCTAATTGCTGGATGGCAATTCCCCGTCCTCAAGCTCGCCTTGGCTTTGGTTGTGCACTGTGCGACATGGTATCTAGGTGGCTTCCTCCTTCATCATGTCATGTATTGCTGCAATGCAAGATCGGCGAGGAAGCCATGGAGTAGGACCTTGTATGCAATTTACTTGGACGTGACGACCAACTTTTGGGACCTTTCACTGTTGTCATTGACGTGGGGAACTCCCATCATCAACCTTGCATTGACAGGGTATGGTTGCAAAATCCAAGGACCGCTGTTGTACCTTGGGCGTCGGCTCTATGACGCCCCTCTGATATCGATCCAGGGTCCCTCCATCATTGATGGCAGCTGGGTCAATGGCCACTCTGTGGTCTATGGAAGGACTCAGTTTGGCGAAACCAAGGTGTCGGGAGTTCTGCATGAGTTTACCGTCTGTCTTGCCAACACCAACATGACAGAACCAAATAGGGAAGTGGGTCCGATGCACTTTGTCAACCCGTCTCTTTCATAGTTGCTTCTACCGGCACACATTCATGGCTTGCTGAAGAATCTACCCCGCTAATCTGATTGTGCCATTCTACATATATATACTATTGAAATCATAAGATGAATGGATTAGATAGGTCTTGAATATATGTGTATTTGAGGGAGTGTAGCGTCGTAGATTTCTCTTTGCAGCTCCATGTTTGCGTCTGCCTTTCATTGTCCACGTACCGTTATGTTGCTAGCAAGGACAAACATGGTAGATGATTGATGATTGTGCAGCGGGTCTTCTCGCCTTGACACAGCTTCACCAATAATCAGCCAATCAATCAAGTCCAGTTCAGGTCAAGCAATGCACTCAGCAAAGATTTCTTTCTTCAATAGTTGGAGTACATATCCATGGTCTGCTGGTGGTCGTTCCATGTTTCTTCGAAGCGGGCTTGTTCCACGTCATGCTTGAACAGATTGGCCTTTTCCAAGTAGTCTTCTCGAAGCAACACTTCTGTCTGCAGCCGAAGCAGCCCGGCAAGATCCTCGCGGTCCATCTTTTCCTTTTCACAGGCAGCCTCATCGCCGTTTTCAAAGAAGCACTCGTCGTACTTTTCCAATTCGTCGGCCAGGCGCAGCATTTCATCAATATCCACAACATCGGGATCCTCCGCCAGCTCAATGGCTCGATGAAAATCTTTGTGGGGGTAATGGTGACTTGCTTCTTGTCGTTTTTGTTGTTTCAGGCTCGTCGTCGTCTTGAGGAGGTTCAAAGGAACATGCGACTTGGGGCTGAAAGCCGCGGCGCTTATTCCAAAGAAGAGCCAAAAGGCTAGCTTGCAACTTCCCGTCATGGTGGATCTTTTTCGATGGAGATGATTCTATCAATGCTTTGAAGATGTCAACTCGCGGCAAAGACAACCGAACCCAAAGATCAGGAGCTGGTCAGGCAGGCATCGTGTGTCGGGCTAAGGCCATCTGGGTTGCTTCCTGTTGATTAGGTTCTCGTCGGCTCTACAAATGAAAACCTTCCCTTGGTGGCGTGGGTTCCTCGAGCTCTTCTGCGTTTTGCGGTCTTGTCCGGGAGTCGAGTGAGTCAAGGAGGTGTCACACGCAAGGACCCTAACTCTATCTGCAGCGGCGACAAGTTCAGGTAGGAGCAAGTGTGCTTCCAAATAGGTCTTCTATGAGTGCGTCGAGTGACTCAGTCACGGCGATAGTGCAATACACGGCTCTTAGCCTTATTCGCGACTCGATCCTAGATAGGGTTTGAGTTCAACTCATGACTGAGTCTCTCGTGAATAGTCATTTGAGACAGGGTTCTCAATGACCGCGCTGGTCATACTAGGTTGATGATGAAACATCGCTCTAGATATTTAGCCAGCGTGGAGTACTTCCACGCTACTAGATCCAGGCTAGACAAACCTTCCACGCGTTCCGTTTTAGGATCGTGGAGAGACGTAGGATTACTACCGCAACCTACTCTATCACACTTTATAGTCTCCCGCGGGAAGCCAGATCTACGATCCCTTGATGATGATCTCTCTCGTTGATTAGTTTTCATAGCTTTCTAATCTCTCTCATAACTTCATTCTCTCAAACTCAAACACTCGAAAGATCTTTACACTAGCTTTTAGTGTAGTGCATTTTGTAACAAACACAATAGCTTTCAGCTACCTCAACCTATTCCTTCACCATGAAGATGGCTCAAGGAAAGCATGCGTTCCGCAACTTCGAGAAACAGTTGCGTGACAAACCCATTCTTCCTCTCGTCGACAATGACGAAGAAAACGAGTCGACGATACTCGTGCAACACTTGCAAACTTCGCAACCATGTTGCCAGCGCAAATCAGAAGACTCTGATAATGAGGACAACTCCTCTATCAATTTCAATCACTTGGATGAGAAATCTCTATCTGAGGATTGGCAGGATGATGATCAACGAACCATGTTCCGATTTCTCATACCAAGTGATGAAGATATCTCACTAACTAGTAAACAAGAATTGTTTGCAACTATGAACACTACGGCAAATTAATGATTGCCTAGAAGCTGCTCAATAGATCTGATGATCTATAGCATCGTTAACCTCGTCCGTGGCCAACCACCTCGTAAACGTCGCAAGCAAGAGACCTCAAACATCGTCTATGTTAGATTTAACAAGCGAGAAAAGGGAAACCAAAACCCGTTACACTCCGTTGCTTACTGGATACAGGAGCATCGGAACCTTGATTTCAACTCATGCTAAGAAATTACGCATGAAGGATCTGGGGGCGTCCAAACATGTGGAATACCCCTGCAGGAGAATTAACACCAGCACGAAGTGCAAGGTGCATTTATGATTCCTGAATTCCACGAGAGATAGAATTATCGAGTGGGATTTACACGTACCAAGGCTTGGGGGCGTATGACATGATCATAGGTCGAGACATTCTCTCTGATTTAGGATTCAAGTTCGATTTCACTACCATGTCAGTGGAATGGGACGGCGCATCTATCCTATGAAAGAAGCGACCCAATGAAGAAGAAACTTCTTCATTCCTGATCCTACTGCTGTTGAGACAGTGCAGATCGTCTCAAGAAGATTCTTTATGCAAAATACGAACAAGCTGACTTAAGGCAGGTTTGCCAAGTCAAGATCAGTTAAACAGGCAGAGAAGGAACAGCTTCATTCCTTACTGACGAAGTACTCTGACCTATTCGATGGTACTTTAGAAAGTGGCAGATGGACGACTACGAAGTAGAACTTCTCCCTGATGCTAAACCCTATCATGCCAGGGCTTATCTATTCCACGGGTCATACCAACACTCTTAAAATGGAGGTTGAACGTCTCTGCGAGGCAGGAGTCTCAAGAAGGTAAACCGTTCCGAGTGGGCGGCACCAACTTTTATCATTCCCAAGAAAGATGATCTGTACGATTCATCTTGATTTCCGGGAACGAACAAAAGGATTAAGCGGAAGCCTTATCCATCCAAAAATACAGGACATGCTCTTGAATCAGATGGATTCAATACGCTACTAGTCTAGACCTGACATGGATCATCCATCGAGCTGTCACCTCACTCGAAGCACCTGTACCATCGTACTCCGGGGAAAGACGATACCAGAGGTGCCAATGAGCCTATGTAATGTCCCGACATCTCCAAGAGAAGTGGGAACACTAATGCACGACCTAGAATCGTCCGTCATACATTGATGATCTACTCATCTAACTAACGGCGATAGCAGATCACGTTGAAAAAGTTGGTGAAGTTCTCCGAAGGCTTGAGAAGCCGGACTTAAGATAATGCTACAAGTCTTTCTTGCAAGAGGAGAACTTGATACTAGGTTACTGGATTACTCGAGAAGGGATCCAACATAAACCAAAAAATAGACGCGATCCAGAATATCGCTCCTCCTACCAACAGAAAAGAACTCCAGATTCATTGGACTAGTGAACACTATCGAGACATGTGGATTAGACGATCACATGTACTGGCCCCACTCGCTTCGTTGACTTCCAAAACAACGAAGTGGAAATGGAAGCGAACACGACGACTAAGCCTTTAGCCAGATGAAGAAGATCATCAGCAAAGAAACCTTGCTCGCCCTACCCGACTTCAACGATACATTCGTTATCCACACGGATGCGAGTGATACTCAACTAGGTGCCGTAATTTCCCAGAAGGGAAAACCTATCGCGTTCTACAGCAGGAAGCTCAACCCTGCTCAGACACGTTACACAGTTCCGAGAAGGAACTTCTCAGTATCGGAAACTCTAAAAGAGTTCGTAACATTCTTCTAGGACAGAAGTCGTTGTACATACGGACCACAAGAATCTTACATGTAAGAACTTCAATACCGATCCGTAATGCGATGGCGCCTTATTCTGGAAGAATACGGCCCCGAACACGGTACATCAAGGGTGAACAGAACATCGTCGCTGATGCGTTGTCAGAATTAACATCTCCACAATGAAGTTCTTCAGAACAGATGGACGCCAGTGAGATCGCTGAACTCATGGCTGCCGATAAAATGTGGGTTGATCCATGGGATCAACGTGGTGAGGTGAGAACAAACTGTCTGCTTATGTTACTGTACCCACATGGTATGTGGACAAGCAAAGATATAGAGAATCTTGGTTGGTACTGTGAGACACAGGCCATACATATGGAACCAGGAAGCCCCATATGGTCCCATATGAAGGTTTTGACCACTGTATCACCCCAGATGGCCATAGGCGAGCATCTACTCAATCAGGTGACCTCAAGAGGATCCAGGAGCCTCAGTGTGGCTCAGAGTGCTCAAATCCTGCATAAACCCAATTATTTGGATGCATGCTTTTTGCTCATAGTCCAAGAATTGAATGTTGAATTGAATACCATCTCCATAGACTGTAGCTCCCTTGTTCCTTTGCAGTAGATACCTATCTTGTTGAGGCTGAGCAGTGGCATTGAGAGGTAAGCTGATAGCATTCGCTAGGCTGCCCAGCATCGTGATAGAATAACATCGGTACCAGCTCCAGGAGCTGGAAACTCTGTGAGCAGAGGAGGCCCTGTGGCCATCCTCATCTCTTGTGGATCTACCCTGATCCTTTCAAGAAGTTATGGATTAAACAGTCGCAATAGCATCACAAGAGAAGCTATTGCTACAGACGAACAGGCCAGTGAATCAGAGCTCGAGTTCAAGTGGAGACCTCCAAGAAACCTACCTTTTGACTCTACTGTCCACACAGCCATTCTGTTGTTATTCGAGGTCACCAGTGGATCCGGCAGCCCTGAATTACCCAGAACCAGACTCTGCAAGCCTCTAAAGGTCGAAATCGAGGAACCTACCCATCCTCGAGTTCGCGAAACTCGCGATTCGGCAGTACGACGGAAATTCGAGAGCTGATTTCACGGCAAATTGTGAGCCGGAACCAGTCAAGTTACCAAGGAACGAAAAGAGTTAAAGATCACCACAGAGGTACACGGTACCGGTTACGGGAATCCTCGGAACGATCTCACAAGTCACACCGAAGTCGCTCAGCCAATCAGATCGTCCGTGCAGTTTCACGAGTTCTGTACCGGTCACGGCACGAATACCTTTAACTCTTCGAAGTCACTCGGAACGTCCGT